AATCATTTAGAATGTTTACTCATATACAGAATATGACTAAGTAATAATATGAAATAATATGGAAAATGTAATAACACATAAAATGTTTCAGTGTATGTTTTAAGGGGAAAAAAAAGATAAAATTTAGTTTAGGCTCAGAGCTTTCTCTAATTCTGAAGTGATGCAGAACCTTCTCAGTCCTCCCTGTGCCTTACAATAGCCAATAAAAAACTCATGCTTAGGTGGTGGGATTGTGACATCATCAACAATCCAGCCAATCTCCCCAGTGATTATTTGCATAGTTTGCTCCTCCTAGTCCAAGGAACTCAGTTTCTTTTAAGGAGTGGAAGTGGTCCTCTCCAACAGAAAAGGGAGAAAATTACATTAGCAAAGAAATGTTTGTAATCATATTGATATCAAAATACAGTGATCAAAATTATATCTAGTCTCTCCAGAAAGTATTACCTTCTAGAACTCTACTCAGTATGTTAAATCTTAAAATAGCTTTCCTACAACTTATCCCTTGATATTTAAATGCTGTTGTTTTAAAATATTCCTATGGAATAGGAAATGATTTTCTTGGATAATCTACAAGCCTGTTACTATTGGCAAAAAGAAAAGTCTCTTATTTCTCAGACCTAATTGCTTTTATAAGAAGAAAAAAGCCACTGTACACTTTACTTAACTTTAATCTTGGCACTTTATCCTCTATAATGAAAGAGGCATCAGTTTATCAAATTACAAGGCAAGATAGCAGGATTCCATAACTCTGCTTTTTTTTACTAGGATTTGAACTCAGGACCTTGTGCTTGCTATGCTCTACCACTCAAGCCACACCACTAGTCCTTTTTGCTTTAGTTATTTTGGGGATAGGGTCTTGCACTTATACCCAGGCTGGCCTCTGCTTACACTTCCTAACATGCTGGAAATGACAGGCATGGGCTACCACGTCCCACTTTTACTGGTAGAGATGGGGTCTTGAGAACTTTTTGTCTGGGCTAGCCTCATGGCCTCGAACCACAATCCTTCTGATCTCTACCTCTCGAGTAGCTGGGATTATAGATGTGGCTACCATGCCCAGCTCTGTAACCCTGCCCTTTATACTCCTTATTTATACATTTACTGGTTTACCACATTTGACATTTCTAGTAGTGTCCCTCTTTCATTATCTAACCAAGATTTCCATTCAGAAAGCAATGAGTTTAGTGAGTTAATTCTGCCTTTCTTATATGACATACAGAGTGCTTGGACAAGTTATGTTTGTTTCATTCAGGTTTGTGGAACACATACCACATGTCAAGAGTTTTCACATGCATTATCTACTTTAATCTTTAAATAGCCTCATGAGGATAGATACTATTATAGATGAGAAGAACATTTATAGATAAAAAGAACAAGGATGAAAGAGGTTAATTTGTTCAGTTACAGAGTTAAAAACTCATAGGGAGTAACAGAACCAGAATTCTTACATAAATTTTCTGACACCAAGACCAGTGTTCTTCCCACTAAACCATGTTATTTACTTATAATTAGCTAGATGTGCCAAAACAGAATGGAAAGTGCTACTCCTACGTACCAAATATAACCACTTGCCTTGTACATCTGCAAATGTTTGTCTTATCTTAAATATAAAAACATAGTTTGTGCTGTATTTTCCTAAAGAAACATAGAACAATAGAATGACCCAATGCCTTAAACAAAATTTCAATCAGTCAAAGTGCTTTCAAGTTCTATCTATCTTAAGTACTCACTTATTTACTATGGCCAATGAAAACCTGACATTGGCTCCAAAGTCACTCAGGCTTCTACACAAACTTCCCACCCAAAGTTCTTTGACAGTTATGTATTTGTCTTGTTACTATAAAATACTAATGGCTCACACCTGTCATCCTAGCTACTTAAGAGGCTGAGATCTGGAGGATACAGGTTCGAGACCCATTTTCTTTCTTTTTTTTTTTCATTTATTATTCATATGTGCATACAAGGCTTGGGTCATTTCTCCCCCCTGCCCCAACCCCCTCCCTTACCACCCACTCCACCCCCTCCCTCTCCCCCCCACCCCCTCAATACCCAGCAGAAACTATTTTGCCCTTATCTCTAATTTTGTTGTAGAGAGAGTAAAAGCAATAATAGGAAGGAACAAGGGTTTTTGCTGGTTGAGATAAGGATAGCTATACAGGGAGTTGACTCACATTAATTTCCTGTGCGTGTGTGTTACCTTCTAGGTTAATTCTTTTTGATCTAACCTTTTCTCTAGTTCCTGGTCCCCTTTTCCTATTGGCCTCAGTTGCTTTTGAGGTATCTGCTTTAGTTTCTCTGCGTTAAGGGCAACAAATGCTAGCTAATTTTTAGGTGTCTTACCTATCTCACCCCTCCCTTGTGTGCTCTCGCTTTTATCATGTGCTCAAAGTCCAATCCCATTGTTGTGATTGCCCTTGATCTAAAGTCCACATATGAGGGAAAACTAAAGACCCATTTTCGAGAACTCCCCATCTCCCAAACCAACCAGAGCAAAATGGACTGGAAGTGTTACTCAAGCAGTGGAGTGCCTGCTTTGCAAATGTGAAGGTTTAGTTCAAATCCCAGTCCCAACAAAACTAACAAATGAAAAAAGCAAAACAAAACACTGTCAACTCGGTAAAACTCAGAAGTGGGCGGGACCTATTCGAACACCTGAGGCTAGAACCATTAGAGTGAAAGGTGCTACTCTTGAAACTGGATAACATCCAGTAACAATAGAGATGGCTCTTATTCTGCATTGAGCATGTCTAAATGCTTCACATATGTTACTCAACACCCTAAAATGATAGAGGATAGGTACTGTCATTATCCCCACTTCCAAATAACTGGGACGTGAAGAGTTTATGGATGGGGTGTAGCTCAGTGCTAAAGTGAATGCTTAGCTTGCATGAGGACCTGGCTTCAATCCCCAGGACCTAAAAAAAAAATTAAAAAAAAAGAAAGAGTGAAAGAAAGAAAGAAAGAAAGAAAGAAGCTGATTTTATGGAACACACCGAAGACTTTTTGCTGACTTGCATTACACCTTGCTAAATATGACTACAAACAAAAAATTTGGCCAACATGTAAGCACATGATAATATAAAAATCAAACTTAAGTAGGGAGTAATGGTTCATGCCTGTAATCCCAGCACTTGGGAGGTTGAAGCAGATAGATGGTGAGTTTGAGGCAAGCCTGGGCTAAAAGCGAGACTGTCTCAAAAAAAAAAGAAAAGTCAAACTTAAGATCAGCATTAATCTGGTATAGAAATGGAGCATAATTCAAAGTGATGTTCTTGATTTCCTTAAGGGTTCACACAGAATCTCTCCACTTTTCTTCAGTTTGCAGTCAGGTTATGAACATGTGTCAGTGTGGGCTTACTGTTTGCTCCCTACCATTTGCCACCAAAGACTTGCCCAGGATTTGTGGGTCCTCTGCACTTCTCTTGGCCAACTCAGACTGGGGGTGGTACCATTCCTCTTCCTACACTTTGCACCATGGGAATCTGCCCCCACTGGTTCTCTTTAGTCCTGCCCACTAACTGCCCTGGCAAGCTGCCATTCCTCACTATTGGAAATGCAACAGACTTAGAGCTTTGGTTTCCACATGGTGCCTGATACTGTGTGGGGGGTGGTTCTTCATTCCCAGCCCATCCTAAATTCCTATCTTCTAAAAATGGACCCACTAAGTTTAGAAAGTGACTGCCTGACTGGAGTAAATTCCTGACAACTTGGTCTCTTCTAGGATACACATTAAAATGAGTGGTTGGAATGGGAAGACGATAGATCCGAGTCAGCAAACACACACTAGTGACATTGAAGTGAGGCTAAAATGGCCTGATGAGTGTGAAAGAGATTGGTAAACTGTAAAATCATTCAGAGATGTCACTGTGACTCACAGACTGAGCGGCCCTTCACCAGAGACTAGGCCAATGGTTCTTAGATGTTAGAATGAATCAGAATTTCCTGGAGGGCTTGTCAAAATACAGATTTCTGGACCCATTACTTCTGATTCAGTCAGGCTGGTATCCAAGAATTTGTATTTCTAACAGGTTCCCAGTGATGCTGATGCTGCTGGTGTAAGGACTACACCTTGAAACCACTGGCTGCTGAATAAGCAAACTCTATTGTAACCACAGTTTGCAAGCAGGTAGTTATTATTACTACGTCCATATCTTGGTAACCCCAACATTTGCTCTTTCTGCTTCCAGATTGCTCAGCGCATTCTGCTGAGGTTTATGGGAAAAGAGCATTCCTTTTCTACTCTTCTGTATGTATCTGCCTCCTGCATTAATGCCATTTTTGTTTAAAAGCTGCTTCTTAGTGAGAAAGAGACTCTCGCAATGTTATTGCGCTTAATATGAACTATTGCCCAGTTTTTAAGCATAAAACTTAAGTGCTCATGAGATTCGTACTTAAAACAGAAAAAGGGGATTTGGGGGCAGAACGACCCCTCCCCTTAGCATTTGCAGCTCTGATGTAGCCACAGGTTTGTGATTAGGACCAAGTATCCTAAAAGGAATCAGTGCCTCCCTCATTGAAGGGATGGACGTAATATAAAGTGCAAAGTTGCAGGAGGAAGGGGGGGACCATGATGATACACATCCGTAATGTACCCCCTCCACGCCAAACACAGCGAGTGGGGGGACTGAGCCAGAGAAAGCCTTCCCTAGTAGGGGCCCCCAAAGCGCGTCTCCCCCGCCGCCCCTGTCCCGACAACTGCAGCCTGGTCTCCGCAATGCTAAAACGCAGCAGCACATCGCCCTCCAGACCTCTCCCGGGGGGAGACTCGCACGGTGCAACCAACCCTAAAAAACGTAGTCGCGTAACGCCCCTTCGGCCCGCCGGCCTTCCCATTGGTGGGTTTCCGCTGTCACTCCCGCGTCGCCTCGCCCCCCCCCCCCCCCCCGCTCGCGGGCGGAGGCCGCCGGGCGGGGTAGGTTGTGCGCTCGCGGCGGGCTCTGGCCGCGGCCGCGGCTTTGCAGCAGGCGGCGCGGCGGGCGGGGAGCGGGGTGCACCGGCGGGGGAGGAGGCCGGCGCGCTGCGGGCTCCGCGGCCGGCCCATGTGGGGCGGGGGCCGGCGGCAGGGCCGGGGGCCACAGCCGGCGCCGAGGGCGGCCGACCACGACCTGCCCGGCCGGCTGCCCCCCTGCCCTGCCTCGCCCATCAGCCCCGGCCAGCGGGGAGGGATGCGCCGTGCCGCCCAGCTCCTCTCCGCCCTGCCCATGCCCTGAAAGCAGAAAGTTTGGGGGTCGGGGCTGCCTTCCTCCTCCCCTGCAATGACTGCCTAAAGGACTCCTGCTGCCCAGCCTCGACTGTGACCCGTCTTCGCTCCCCAGGTCGGAATGAACTATTCCAAGGCTCCCCCTCTCCGCCCCTCCCTCATCCTCCTTTAAAAAAATTATTTTTTTAAAATTCAAGAAATCGTGATCTGTCCACTCCCCCCGCCCCCCGTTGATAATTTAGACCCCAGGCCTCATATCTTGAGTACTAGAAGGGGGTGCGGTCTCTCCCCAAGGCGGCGCGCTGGAAGGACAGATTCCCCTTGCCGACCCACATACATCATGAAGAGGTGCAAATCGGACGAACTGCAGCAACAGCAGGGCGAGGAGGATGGAGCTGGGCTGGAAGATGCGGCTTGCCACCTGCCGGGCGCAGACCTCCGGCCTGGGGAAGCCTCGGGTGCTAACTCCGCTGGCGGGCCAACTTCAGACACGGGCGCTGCGGCGGTACCCAACCCAGGTCCCCGAAGCAAGCCTCCCGATTTAAAGGTGAGCGCAGACCATCCCCTGGCAAACCCAGCCCAACCACGTAGCTTTCCCCACCCTACGCAGGAAAAAATAAATAAAAGTGTTTGAACAGGATAAAAGTGATGGAGAAGCCAAGGCAGAGGTCAGCGAGGATGCTTGGCTGGAACCCGAGGGGCAAGTTGGGTGTCATTTGTGCTTCTGTTTGTCAGCTCCATTTCAGGCCTCTGTGTTTGTTTCCCATTATTCACAGACATTCTAGTGATTCACCCATCTGAGATAGTTTGAGTAACGTGTGTGAAATGTTATTCGCAGACAAAGGGCTGGAGAAATCCAAGATGCTAACTGAAAAGTTGACATCACTTTCCCTCCTGTAGAGTGGTAGGGGGAGAAAATTGCAGTGTAGGAAAGCCAAGTAAGTGACCATTAGATTCTTTTGCCAGTTAGTCTCCTCCCATTGTGGTGTTTGAACACTGTCCTGGATCTAGCTCAGTTTGTCCATCTGTGAAAGGGGGGTGTGGATTTCTTGCCGTTAGGTGGAGCCAGAGGTTAAGCTAGTGCTTGGAGATCTCTGCCTGCCTACTGAACCAACCAACCCCCAGGGTGGAGAACTGACAGGTGGCTGAGAGGTTTCCTAGGCTGGTTGGGGCCTTGGTTCAAGTTGCACACACGCTGAGCAGGCAGCTAGACTCAGAATCCGAATAGCCAGTTCACATGGAGCTGTTTGTTTTCCATCCTGAGGCCGTGGAGAAAATTGAGGAGCTGAATTGAATATTTCTCTATGTCGATTAAAACAACAGCCGGAATAAATAATGCACCTTTGCTGGAGCTGCTGCCAGGACTGCCAGCTGAGGCTTCTCAAGCCAGCTCACAACAGGACTGAGCAAGATGTCAGCCCAAGGAAGGAACTTAGGTGCCTTGGAGATTGATGCCTCCGGGGGATTTTCTCCAGAGAGGGTGCAGGGTCTGGGCTAGGGGACGGGAGTGGAGTGGAGAGGATTCTCCTTAGGTTAAATAGAGCCTGTATCCTATGGCAGCTGGCACTAAGGAGTTCAGCAGAATAAGCCAATGACATTCCTCATTTGGCCTGAGCAGCTTGGAGTCAGGAAGTCAGAGAGCAGGTGAGTGTGTGTGCTTTCACCTGTCTGTTTACTGTCAGTGTTCCTCTGTTCCTGGGGACATACTCACTCTTTGTTGTATGTACTTTTAAAGATCGTGATAGTTATTTAGATCTGACCTCTGGGTCTGCCCCTGCCCTTTATGGATGTTTGTGGCTATTCTTATTGTCTATGGATGAGTTCTGCTACATAGGCTTTGTACACAAAGCCTGAGATTTCATCAGGCCCAAAAGTCCCTCATGTTCATTCCAGCTGTCATCCTCACATCTACTCCATGTGGTCAAGAGGTGTTCCCAGTCTTAAATGGTGACACAAAAGGGGTCCCCTTAATGCTGTTGAGAAAGGAAGAAGGAGGAGGCAGGCCTTCCATTGGAGTCTTGACTCATTCTGAGCTGGTTCAGAGGAGTCTGGCCAGCAAACCCTGATTCTTGGACCAGATGGGACCCTCACCCTGAGCCCATGAGAGGCAGCCTTGGAAACTGTCCCTCCAGCTCCAGCCACCGTGGAGACTGGCAGTTCTATTTCCCCCAGATGCCTTCCCGAAGGAAGGAGAGCTGGCCACAATATGGGGATTGCAGTGTCTGTTTCTGTAGATAAGGCTGCTTTAAGGTTTTTTGTTCCCACCTTATATCATCTTTTTCTGTTTTTTTGGTGACACCCTCATTCTGGTTAGGGGCAAAGATAGCAATAGCTGTAAACCTTTATATTAACTGCTAAACTGCCCTGAACCAGAATTGAGATCAAGTGTGAGAAAAGAGACTCCAAACATACACACTCAAAGAAAAAAAGATCACCGCAGAGGTCAAGCCCAGCAATGTGGAGCCAGGTGGACAGCAAGGAGAAAACATAGCTGCTGCTTGCCAGTGGGAGCAAAGGGAGATAGCAGAGTCTTTCCTGTTTGTGTCTGTCTCTCCATCAAAACATGTTTACTGCAGGGCAGAGACTTCCCAACCAGATAAGGTTTGGGGCCACCACTACTTGATTCATTGTGTGATCTCAGGCATACATCACTCAGCATTTCTGAGCAAAGGGACAAGGAATACTGGAGTGTGTCCAAACTTGTTTTCAGTGCTGGAAAAGTTGTTTTCCAAGGCTGACATAGTTTTCCAGTCATGGAAAAATTCCACCATTGGCTCTGAAACTGGGGAGAAGCTGACTTGTTCTAGATTTCATGGCAGTATCAAAAAGGGACACGTTTAAATTTTTAATACCCACTGCCCACACCTGTGTTTGTTTGAGGCTAATCAGCAGTTCTGGTTTGCTTTTGTTTTCAGTTTGAAATTTGGAGATAGCAACTTTTGGTCCCTTAGTCCCTTTTCTAGTTTCTTATGACAGCTCCAAGGATTGTGGTGGATTAAGTACAGTGGAGGAAATCATCTTGAGAAAGGGGCAAAAACATAAGTGGTTCTGTGTAAAGTGCCTCTGTGGTAGGTAGGAGCAGGAAAGGAGAGAATTTTTCTTTGCCAAAGAGAGCTGTATGATGCTTAATGACAGCAGCTTCGGGCTCCTGTGGTCTCCGTCTGGTCTTTCAGCACTGTGGACATCATACCATCCACTGCATATTTCTTTTTTTACTGTGTGTGTGTGTGTGTGTGTGTGTGTGTGTTTAGGGGAGTGCTGTGGATCCAATCCAGGGCATTGAACATGCTAGGCAAGCCCTCCACCACTGCGTTAAATCCCCAGCCCTGCAAATTTCTATGGTGGCCTGGGGTTTGTGATTGTGGAGTGGTGAGGGCCAGTGAAAAGAAAGAAAAATAGTTAAGTAGCAATCTTAAAGTTGTAAATGTAACAGAAAAATAACCTGAAAATGGGCATTGCCCCATAGGAGGCCTGTGCAAATACTTTGGGGACCTTCTCTGCTATTCCACAGGATAGTGTCCCCTGGGGGAGATGTCAGCAGCCAGCCCTGCAACAGGAGCCCTGCAATTTACAGTTAACATTTCCCAGTCACTTTCGGCATGGGCTCCTGTCTAACCACTTGAGTTCATCTCTACATTCATGTGTTCTCATTATCCAGTCCTTAGCTGTGACAAGATTCCATCCTTGTTGAGAAGAGTCGCTGGGATGGCCAGCTACAGAGACTGCTGGCTGACCAAAAGTACACCAGAATTCTCCAGTATAGCTCTAGAGAGAAGGGAATGAAGAGGAGCTTAGGGGAACTCTGCAGAATGAAATCCTGTTAAAAATACAGAAGATGGTAGAGATTTCTGAGGCCTGGGATAGTGGCTGAGCATAAGAATTTGCCTGTCCTGAAATATTGTGAAAACCTGGAGTCATGGGAGGGGGAAAGGGGCTTTGCTCACCTTACCACTTCTCCCCACCCCATGTGCAGCTGGAGGAACTGAGTTTTCCTGAGAGGAAGGGTCAAGGGATCCTGGCCAGGCCTTCCTCTGAGGTTCTCTTTCCCTTCACAAAAGCCCTGTGATTTCTAAGCAGTATTATAGTCCTTCCCTGAAGAAAAAGGGGCAGCTCCATCTTCTGTTGTTCACATTCTGGTTCTAAGCACTTCTGACTCAAGACTCACTTGGGTTCCAGCTGTGTACTTCTGTTCACACCATACACTGGTCTTCCTGTCTACTGAATGAAGAGCAGGAAAAACACTTAGAAGCCAAATAGCTGAGGGAAAGTCACAGCTGAATCCTAGACCATTCTCCTGCTGGTCTGCCACCTTTACTGGTGGTCAGTGCTTCAGCCCCCCTCAAATGGCCTGTGTTCCTTCAGCATTCCATAGAGAGTGCCCTCGAGAGGATTCATGTGGTTAACAGGTCCTGAACACCTTCAACAGGAAAGGCCCTGTTTTAAATAGTGAAGTAGAGCAGACATAGAAAAGTGCCTGAAAACACAGTTTATACATGTAGCTCAAATAATAAAAGCAAAACAGACACCTCATCTATTACACACACACACACACACTTGGGGATTGAGCTCAGGGTCAAGCACTTGCTAGGCAAGAGCTCCACAATTTGAGCCACGCCCTCAGCCCTTTGTTTTATTTTTTAAGGCTTAGGGTTTTATTAAAATCTGTGGGTCTCAATTTCTCCTTCTTTCTTTTTTTTTTTTTAACGGAGAAGACAAGTTATTTCATGAGAATGTGAGTGTGCCCTGGGGTTCTAAGTGGGGGTGGCTGTCTAGGACCTTGCTGCATCATGTTGTTCCCAATTTTCCTTCAGAAGAGATATATTCAGGCTTGAAGATCCCTGCAAACAGGTGGGCGCTGGACTCCCGGGCTAGATTGCATCAGAAGAGGAGTGATTGAGGTAGACCTAAAAGCAGGATATGGGAAATGAGTTCTTTAGCAGTAGGCACTGCCTTTGCTTCCAGGTGCACTCCCAATACAAACAGGATGAAACATGGGAGAAAACTGTCCACCGAAGAACACTTAGGTGGAGAGTGCCTCCAGCATGATGTGATGGAATCGGAAACATGGGTCAATCAGGAAAGGTATTCTGGGGGAGATGGGTTCAGCGCAAGATGTTAAAAAAAAAAAAAAAAGACGGCAGGGGGAGGGGAGCAGAACATTGATTACCAAATGAGAGAAGAGCAGTGTTCTAAGTGGGGCAAGTGAGATGGCCGGTGCCAAGACCTCGGTAGGACCTTTGCTGGCTTCCCTCAGCCCTGTAAATGTCAGGGACATCTGGGGACTATGAAGAATGATGAGCTTGCTGCTTTTATCCCACCTGCACATTCTTTGAGGCCAGCGGAGGGTCCTGAGGCCCAGGATTGCACCCCCTACCCCTCCAGCCTATAGCAACATTCAGAGCAGCCCTGTATGTGGGCTCAGGGAGCTGGTGATCAAAGGGAAACGTGGCAAAGGAAGCTCACTGTTCTGCCACATATTGGGTTCTAGATTCATTCCCAGCTGCCCTAGTTGCAGCTTGTGTTTACAGAATGTGTTGCTTTTTGTGT